CTCGTTTGCTTTGTGTTTGGTACATGTACATTCAAAAATGCCTTCATGACTGCTCACAATAGAGCATTGTCTAATAATGCTCATGCCCATACAGCATGCATGAGATTGATAGTATTGTTTGCATAACATACACGTACAGTATAGTAAATGAATGCATGCCCTCATGACTGCTCACAATAGAGCATTGTCTAATAACAATCATGACTTACATGTAATAGTGAGGACTAAGATACTGATTGAACATGGTTGGTACATATGTGTTGTTAGTAAAACTATGATACTCTTCCCTTTGCTCATTACATGTACCTCTATTGAGTTTGTATGTACATGTACAGTATATGAATATATGCATCTTCACTATCTTTCTTGTTCTCTTTCTCTTTATTTTTCCCTCAACCTTCCTAATCTCCCTCTCTTATCTTTTCCTATTTCTTTCCTTTTGTCCTTCTCCTTTTCCTCTCTTCAGGTTGTTATTATCTGCTACTATTCCTTAATCATTTTTAATGTCATTTTGTGAATGCTGATACAAGAAGACTCTCAATGGATCGAGTTGTTCATAAATTGTAAATCTTTGAGTTGTCATTGCACCAGCTCAAGTCCAGTGGTCATTGGCAGGTATAGATTAACCTCCTGGGAGCTAGAAGGGGAGGATAATTATGTTAACTATTACATGTATCTCATGATGTACATACAGTTTCTAATTGTAGGTATTATCGTATACTTGTTGTTACTGATGTTGAGCACACCATTCTATATATAGGACTGATCTCACACATGGGGGGAAATACAGTCTGGAAGAACCTCAATAGGTACACATGCACTAGCATTATGATAGCCATGGAAATATTTTGTTTGAATTTAAAACTTTTTACTATTGATATAACGTATATTTGTCCCAGTTTTGTTTGTGTGTGTTTGTGCATTGCTATAGTCATTATGGCCAATATATACTGTAGATGCTGCATTATTTGTTTGTTTTGTGTTTATACCATACAAAATGTCCTCACCACTGCTCACAATAGAGCATTGTCTAATAATGCTCATGACCATACAGCATGCATGAGATTGATAGTATTGTTTGTATAACATACACATACAGTATAGTAAATGAATGTATACCCTCATGACTGCTCACAATAGAGCATTGTCAATGCTCATTATTCATGAGTGAGGGCTAATTAAGATACTGCTTGAATATGGCTGGTTGATATGGTGCTATTTGGGTGTGGATTGGATATATGACTATCTTCTCTATGTACATTACCTATAATAAGTTTGTTATGTACGTGTACAGTATATGATTATGTGCATCTTCACTATCTTTCTTGTTGTCTCCCTCTCTATTTTTCCCTCAACCTTCCTCTTTCCATTCTCCCTCTCTCATCTTCTCTTATTTATTTCCTTCTGTCTTTCTCCTCCTTTTCCTTTCTTCAGGTTGTTATTATCTGCTACTATTCCTGAATCATTAATTCATTATTAAGGTCATTTTGTGAATCCCGGTACAAGAAGACTCTCAATCGAGTTGTTTATAAATTGTAATTAATCCTAACAGACTAATACATGTAACTATCTTTTGGACCACCTCAAGTTGGAAATTGGCAAGTATAGATTAACCTCTTAAAGCTAGAGAGAGGGTATAATTATGTTAATTACATTTTTGCTGGCTGCCGTTACAAGTATGATGTACATGTACATGTACATATTATTTCTATAATTGTAGGTATATATATATATATACTCAGAGTTATGTTGTTCTTGCTAATATTGAGCACTCAGGACTGATCACACGTGGGAGAAAATAGTCTTGAAGAAAGCCTAATTAGGTAGACTTATGTATGTTATGATAGCACAGTATTTGTTTTGATGTAATGTAAATTTGTCCCTGTTTTGCTTGTTATAGCCATTGTAAAGGTACTGCATTATTTGTTTGCTTTGTGTTTGGTACATGACATGTACATTCAAAAATGCCCTTATGACTGAATATATGCCCTCATGACTGCTCACAATAGGCATTGTCCAATGATGCACATGACCATACAGCATGCATGAGATTGATAGTATTGTTTCCATAACATACACATACAGTATAGTAAATGAATGTATGCCTCTATGACTGCTCACAATAAAGCATTGTCTAATGATGCTCATGACCATACAGCATGCATGAGATTGATAGTA